GGGTCGGGAGGATTTGGGGGGCTGGGGTGGGCTGAGGACTCCTTCGGGGTGTTCGGTTTATCAAAAACCCCCAAAATTCCCCTTTTGCTTCGGAGATCAGCACTCGTCTCGGTGCCAGTGGGTGATGGATAGGGACCACTCACCCCTGCCCGGTGGGGGCCAGTGGTGACAGCCAGCAATGGTGGGCAGCTGCCGAAGCTGGGAATGCAGCCCGAAACTGGCATTGCAGGGGGAATTTAGCTTTGCAGAGCATGCAGTCGGGTGGTGGTGCCGCGGGCAGAGCAGAGCATCGCGCCTTGCTGCCAGCCCTGGGGCTCCTGGCCGCCGGCATCACTCGAGGGCGCGGGGTAATTACAGCTCAACGCCCAAGGACACCAAACGATTGCGGGTCCCGGGGGGCTCGGTGGAATGCTGTGAGCCGATGGTCCCCGGGGAGGCCACCCTGGCTGCGATGCCGAGCGGCTCCTGGCTCCGGTGCTCGGCAATTAAAATAGGATTAGGCTCTCGGCCAGGCGGGGAAGCTGTGCCGGTGCCGGGATTGGCAATGGAGAAGCAGGAGGGAATATGCTCGTCGGGGCGCATCGGCTAATGAGCCGGCTTCTCCAGCCCGGCCGGGCCCCCTGCCCCACTTCATCCCCAGGGACACCCCGCGGCTGCTGGGGGCGGCTTTGGGGACACGGTGACACTGGGGGATTAGGCAGTGCGATGGAGGTTTGGGAGGTCAGAGGTTGTCGTCTTTGGAGAGGGCGTTCCGGGGCAGCGGGTCCGTCACCTCCCTGCTCCCAGAGTGCCCCCTCTGATCGCTGAGCCGTGGGGCTTGAATGGAGCCTTCGGTGGGGGGCCAGGGCCCTTTGTGCTACCGGCCCCGTCCCCTGCCAAACCCGGGAGACGCCCATCCTAATGGATGTGGGGTATTTGGGGTGGTCACTGACACGGAACCCTCCACCACCAAATGTCCTGGAGCTCCGGGATCCTGGGGCTGTTGGTGCTGGCAGATGAGGGGCTGTCCTGGTGTGGGGGCTTCTGTCCAGTTTCATTGCCATCCCTGTCTCTGCCAGCTCCCAGGTGTCTCTGTCCTGAGCAGGAAGCCTGGGCGTGCAGTTCCATCACTGGTAGCTGGGGACGAGCTCTTCTGCTCTGCCTGTGTCACTCACTGCCAGAGCCACCCTGCCCTTTCCTGGCTCCTGAGCTCTGGTCTGGTCCCCACCAACACCAGAATCGCACCGAGGGAGGCAGCAGCATACACACAGAGTGTGGGGCACACACCTGTACACACCCAGTGTGGGCCAGTGGGGCAAAATCAGGACACAGGACAGGCAGGGACCAGACCCAGTGTGCCATGGCACAGTCAGGGACCGCTACAGAACATGCTGGGGACGCCATGGGTGGCATGTGAGCCAGCACCAGCAACAGGCAGCAGCATCTGGAGCCCAGATGGGCCAGGCAGGAGGAGGAGCCTGCCGTGGGTGGGTGGGTGAGCGGCTCCCTGGCCCCTCATCCTTGGCACTGTTCCACTGCACCTCTGCCATGGCCCCCGTGCCTGCAGCCCAGATTCCAGCCCCTGCACGTGCCCACCGTGCTCGTCCCATCTGTCCAGCCCTGGCACACAGGCAGGCCCCCAGGCCAGGGGAGGTTCATGTCACATCCCATGACACTATTTCCTGCTGCCAGCTCCGATGGGTTCCCACTCTGAGTGTGTGCACTGGCCTCCCTGCCACGGCCCAGCGGGTCTGGCATCTGCACAGGTGCCCCAATGAGGAACTGCGGAGCATCACTGCCAGCCGTGGGACAGAGGGCGTGCCCTGGATGGGAAGGGATCCTGAGGGCACCTGTGGGACATTCCAGCCCCTTTTGCGGCCGGGATGTCAGGGAGGTCTGCAGGCACTTGGCCTCCCACTGGGAATGGAAGCTGGCTGCTGGAGCCCTGCCCGGCGCTGCCTGGAAGCCGGTGTGATGCTTCCTGACACTGACCTGCAGGACCCTGCTCTGCTCCTCCCCAGGAAGGGGGGTCCCCAGAGCTGCTCCTGGTGCCTGCACAGGGCACTCCTCCGCATGGAGGGACAACCTCCACAGGGTGAGGGTGCTCATCGGATCAGTGTGTCATGGATGTGGCATCCAATGGCTGTTGGTGGCATCCAAAGAGGATGACAACGCCAAAGAGTATGGCATCTGGGGCAGATGGCATCCCATGAGGGTGACATCCAATAGCTGAGGATGGCATCTGATGGTTGGTTGTGGCATCCGAAGTGGGTGACACCTTTTAAAAGAGTGGCATCTCCAAAAGAGTTGGCTTCAGAAGCTGATGGCATCACATGGAAGTGGCACCCAATGGCTGTTGATGGCATCCTAAGAGAGCAGCACCTCCAAAAGGAAGCATATGGGGAAGATGACGTCCCATGGGGATGGCATCTGATGGCTTGGAGTGGTATCCAAAGGGGTGGCATCCAGGGCAGATGTCATCCCATGGAGGTGGCATCTGATATTTGGAGGTGGTTTCCAAAGGGGGTGACACCTCCAAGGGGAGTGTCACATCCAGAGAGTGGCATCTCCAAAGAGGCGGCCTCCAGGGCCGATTGCATCCTGCTGGAGCAGGGTGCTCTGTCTTACTCGTGCCCCGGCCCCTGCCGCGTGGTTCTTGGCACTGGCCCACATCATCTGCAGCACTTCTGCCTTCCATCTGGCTGCCTCATTGCACTTGTGAATATTCATGACCCTCATTATCCTCTTTCACTCCTTGCTCCCACACTTAGGCTAAAAATAACTTTCCAAGGGGGGATGGGGTGTTCAGGGCGGGGGAGAGGCTCATCACCTCCCCTGGAGCTGGTTCCTTGGGGTCCCAGCTCTCCCATCCTAGGAGCCAGAGGCTTGGCTGGAACATGGGGTTACAGTGCAGGAGGGGGATGATGCTGGAAATTTTGGGATCTCTGGGCTGGGGCGGCAGAGAGCCCCAGCCTCCTGCCCCATCTCAGTGGCAACCTCTGCTCCCTGCTGTGGGTTCCTGGATTTCCTGAGCCCAGGTTCTGATGATTTCTCTTCTGCCCACTCTTGGTTGTCCCAACTGGCCATGAGCATCTCTGTCATTGTTTCTTGTCCTGCACAGAGGTGGCAGTATCATGGTGCTGACCATGGAGTGGAAAGTGGGCACCTCGTCTCTTGGGGTGACCTCCAGCTGGGCCCAGGCTTGGACTCAGGGATGACACTGGCAAAGACAGGGGTCCTTGGGGTACTGACACCTTCCCCGTTCCCCCCGCAGAGCTGAAGGCAACGGGCACAGCACACTTCTTCAACTTCCTCCTCAACTCCAGCGACTACCGCATCCTGCTGAAGGACGAGGACCACGACCGCATGTATGTGGGCAGCAAGGACTACGTCCTCTCGCTGGACCTCCACGACATCAACCGCGAGCCCCTCATCGTAAGCTGCCAGTGCAGGCCAGGAGGGCAGGTGGAAGGGGGTAATTGGGCACTTTGGGGACCTTTTGGATGCTAGGGCAAGAGCTCAGTGGGTATACCTGGTGCTGGTGGGGAAGTGGTAGGGCCAGGTGGGAGTCCTGATCTCCTGTGGGTTGGTGTTTCCACAGATCCATTGGCCCGCATCCCAGCAGAGGATCGAGGAGTGCATCCTGTCAGGCAAGAACAGCAATGTGAGTAACCACCACGAACCCCCTACTGGTAGTGGAGTGGCACTGGTGCTTGGCACTGGAGGGGGATTCATGTCATTCACGTCCCTGTATCCTACTCTGGAAAAGCCATCCCCCAGCATGTACAGCTATGTCGAGATGGGGTGGCTCTCCAGGGTGTGGCAGTGTCCTGTCACCCCCTCTGTTCCAGCCAGGCAGGTCCTGGATAGCTTTCCTGGGCAAGTAGGAGGCCAAGCTCCCCATGCTGCTTCCTCCTACCGGCCAGGGCTGGGCCCTCTGGCTTGCCAGCTCGTGGCCCATGCCAACCCCTGATCCATGCTGTCCCATGCCACATGGCATCCAGTGACCTCTTTCATCCCATGCCCACACCAACACGGCCCCACTGCAGTTTATAGCCCCCATACTTGGGTTAACATGTTCTCCTCTGCTCCCCAGGGGGAGTGCGGCAACTTCATCCGCCTGATCCAGCCCTGGAACCGGACACACCTCTACGTGTGCGGCACCGGCGCCTACAACCCCATCTGTGCCTTCGTCAACCGCGGGCGCAAAGCCCAGGTGAGGGGCGGGAGGGATGGGGGTGCTGAGCTGCTGTCTGGCACGGTGGTGCTGGCACAGCCACCAGGGCACTGCAGTGGGGTGGGTGCTTGGCTCAGCTCTGCCGGCTGCTGGGGGAGGTTGGGGGCTGAAGGCCGTGGGCAAGGGCAGGCTGGGTGTGACCATGGCTAACAGTGTTGTGCTGCTGAGCGGGGCCGAGCCATCTCCACAGACCAAAGACTTCTCTTCACGCTGGAACTTGGCTGTACTCTGATGGCAGCTGCCACACAACGTGCCCTCCCACCCTGCTGGCTGCAGCCACTGCTGGATCTCCACTGGGACGAGAGACACGTCAACCCAGCTTCCCACTTGCTGCCGGGCTGCTGAGCCCCTCACCGTAGAGTCCAAGGATGCCAGCACCCGTGCTGCACAGGGAGAACCGTGCAGGGATTGTGCCATTGCATGTGGCCGTGTCAGGAACATCCCTGGATGGATGTCACCCAGCACCAAGGACCACAACATGCCGTGAGAGGGTGGCATCAAAGCTGTGTGCCGCCAGGCAGGATGTGTGGCAGACAGGAACATTTTCTGGACAGCCTTGGGAGGGAGCCAGTCTCTGCAAGCAGCACCATGAGTATCCCAGGAGTCCCAAGCCCTGTGAGATGTCTGTCCCCTCCACAGTGGAGTGACAGGTCCCAGGCTGTGTCTTCTCTGAGGTTGGAGGTGGAATCACCAGCCCAAACTGAGGGAGGATCACGGCGCTGGATATGAAGGACGGGTGTCTGCCTCAGAGCCCCCAAGCCTGGCATAGGCACTGAGAGAGGTGGATGCTGTTCAGACCATTCCAAATTTGGATTGGATTGGGATTGAACTGGGAAGTGGTAGCATATGAGGAGAACCTAGGGTGCTAGTGCAGTCAAGGACAGCACTAGTTGTCCAGCAGAGTCAGTGGCAAGTGTGGAAGTGCTCCAGTGACCCTATGATGCTAATAGCTTTGGTGCTGAGGCATTGCTCATCAATGCAGGAGGAACGAGGTGGCAAGTGCCATTTTTGAGCCCCCGGGAGTGAGCCCAGCCTGGCTGGCTGTGGGCAGCCATCTCTCCACTCTCTCCTACCCCATGCTAGGACACCCCAGATCTGTGGGAGACAGCAGGACTCATCCTGGAGAAGCTCCTGCTGGAGGCCAGCCCAGGCTGGAGCATCAAGGAACCCAGGGGGACAGCAGTGCTCCTGCTCATTGGGCATTCATCACCCCAGCTCTTGGGGTCCCCTGCTCACCCCTGCCCTGGGGGTCCTTCCCCTGCTGGCGCTAACTCTCTGCCCTGCTCCTTTTCCCCAGGGGTTTCCGCCGAGCCAGCCGGGAGGCCAGGAAAGCAGATCCACCGACAGCCCCCTCAGCCCGAGACCAGCACAAAGCAAGGTGGGAACGGGTCTGGGAGCCCGCCGCAGCCGTGCCCACCTGTCCGCAGGGGCACACCAGAGCCGCGGGCTCCTTCATCCCACTGGCATGCTTCCGACCCCGGGCCGGGCGCCCCGTGCCGTGGGCATCCCCGCCTTCCCCTTCCCTCCCAGCACAGCATCTCCTGGCCACCGGCCTGGCGTCGGCTTTCCTTCTCTCACTAACTCCTTCTTCCTAGCCCATGTAGGATCCCCACCGTGGGGGACACTGTCAGGGATGGTGGCTCTCCACCCACCTCTGACTTTGCCTGACTCCAGGCTTCCTGTGTCCCTTGGAAGTGGGACCGTGTGTTGGCAGAGCCACAGGGCTTGGGATGATTCAGGGGAGGATGCTGAAGCGATGTGCAGGAGGTGTTTGGGTAGGGCCTACAGAAACATTACCGAGCAGCTGCTTCACCTCGCCCCAGGAAGGGTGTGTGTCATCCTGGCAGGCAAGTGCACTCAGGGAGGTGTCAGCATCCCTGGCTTCTGGGAGCACCCCAGTGTGCAGCCCACCCTGACAGTGTCACCCCCGAGCCTCTCCTCTCCAAACTAACATGGGTCAGTGCATGGGCTGGGGAGCATGGGGGTCATGGGCACCCCGGTGCAGCCTGGGGCTCCCCCAGCTCCTCGGGTGGTCGGGGGCAAGGGGTGATGCTTGGCAGCGAGCATCTCCCTGACTGCAGGCAGCTCCTGCTGCCAATTCCCCAGTGCCAGCTGGGAAAACACCATTGCCATTTTAGCCCCCTCAGGTCGCCCCAGTTCCTCTCCCTGCTGGGGAGAGGGTGTGTCTCCTAGCAGGAGCTGCCTGGGGGCTGGCACCATGTGCTTCCTGGCAGCTCTGGTGCATTTCAAGGTGCATTTTATCGGCAGCACCAGCGCCACAATGGCTCCTGTGTTGCCTGACCAGGAGGGTGAGATGATGCAGCCAGTGCCAGGGCTATGCTGGAGAGAGAGAGAGGTTGTCCATGTGAGCCGTTTGCCCACTTCAGGAGCGGGGCAGAGGTGTTTGTGATGGTGATGGTGGCACAAACTGTGCAGTGCAGTGATGCGGATGGTGAAATGTGGCTGTGCTCATCTCTGGGCCTGGGTGCCCCAGGAGGAGCTGCTGTGAGCAAACCCTCCAGTGGGAGAAGCCAACAGTGAGATCCCAGCTCCTCATCCCCTCTTGTTCTTCCCACAGCCAGGGCTCCATCAGGACCCTGCTGGCCTCTCAGTGGAGGGTGGCTGTCACCATGTCCATCACCCATGTGCCAAAGCCAGGGAAACAGGGCCAGTGGTGTTGCTTAAGGTGCCCCGTGCCCAGGCTGCCCATGGGTGCTCTGTGCTGCTGCTTTGTCTAAGCTGAAGGTGATCTCTATGCCAGGATGAGGAGTGACCTGGCTGGGCCAGCCTGTCCCTGTGTGCCCCCAGCCAGCACTGGCAGAGGATTTTGAGTGTGCCTCCAGAGGCAGTGTGTGTCTTGCTCCTGGCTGGGAATGTGCAAGGGTCCAGGAATGGCCACGGGGAAGGCAGAAGTGACAGCAGGGAGGCATCCCATGGAGCAGACACAGCATCTCACCGTGTGAAGAAAAGCACTGGAAAATGGTCCCCGGCGAGAGAAGGACATTGGGTCCCACAACCGAGCTGTGCCGAGCTGTGCTGCAGGCCAAACCTGCCTGCTGAAGCTGCTGGAACTGTGTCACCTTGCTGGGCAAGCGGCAATGTGCAGCACAGCCAGCTGGAGTGAAGAGGCAGTCAGAGGGGGATTTTTTCCCAGACCTGGGGGATGGATGCTCCACTTTGGTCTGATGGCTCAGCCAAGTCTCCAAGTGGTGGAGGGCGTGGAGAAGCACCCAGCATCTTTGGAGGAGTCGCTTCAGCTTCTCAGGAGACCTGCAGACCCCTTGTGTGGTCCATCCATATCTGTCCTCGCTGCTGTGCACCATCCTGGAGGAAGCTGCCTCTCTCTGTGGGCTTTGGGAGCTGTCACATGAATGGAGGGGTGAAAGTCTAACCAGCTGCTCTATTTTCTTCTTCTCCAGGATTATATCTTCTACCTGGAGCCAGACAAGCTGGAGTCAGGCAAGGGGAAGTGTTCCTATGACCCCAAAGTAGACACCGTCTCTGCATTAATAAGTGAGTCCTGTGGCTCCCTGGTGCCAGTGCTTGCTGCCCTGGGCAGAGGGAATATGCAGGCAGGATGGAACAACTGCTCCCATCAGGAGCTCTGCCAGGAGTTCCTGCTCTGCCCCCCTGCCTGCTTCAGCTGTGCAGGCAACTGGCCCAGCAGAGGTGGGGATCGTGGTTACAGACCAGTGCCAACCTCCAGAACTCTCTGCGATGGTCACAGGCACTGGCTCTTGGTTGCCTGCTGGCTACTTGCCAGGTCTGGGGCTGGCAGTTGAAGAAGGTGGGTGGATGGGATGAGGTTGGGATTCCTGGATGACCTCTGCCCTCTGCAGATGAAGAACTTTATGCTGGCGTCTACATCGACTTCATGGGCACAGATGCAGCCATCTTCCGCACCATGGGCAAGCAGACAGCCATGAGGACAGACCAGTACAATTCCCGCTGGCTCAACGGTGAGTGCAGGTGTCACTGACCCAGGTGCCCTGGAGACCTCATGGCTTCAGCCCTAGAGATGAGACCTGTCCTGTAGTACTGCATCCTTCTGCCAGAACAGAGACAGCAGCCAGCAGGGGTGGGTGGGTGGATGGATGGATGGATGGATGGATGGATGGATGGATGGATGGATTGATCATGGATGGATGATGGATAGATGGGTGGGTGGATGGATGGGTGGATGGATGGATTGATCATGGATGGATGGATGGATGATGGATAGATGGGTGGATGGATGGATGGATGGATGGATGGATGGATGGGTGGATGGATGGATGGGTGGATGGATGTGAAAGCACAAAAGCAGGGACAGCTGTGTGGGGCAGTGTCTGAAGCTTTTCTGGGCAGTGGGAGCAGACTGGTGAGAGATGGGACTGGCTCTGCCGGTGTCAGTGCACGGGTTTCTGCAGCGCTGAGACGTCAACCGTGTCGCCTGCAGTCGGTGACCCCGAACATTCATTCTGCCCCCCTTGAAGCACCCCTGCCTGCGGGGCAGCAGCTGAGTAAACAGAGCAGAGCAGATGGGATGATCCTGCCGGGCTGGGGAGCCAGCGGGGTGGTAACCCGAAGAGGGGGAGCTGTCAGCGCAGGCTGGGCACCGGCTGATGGATGGCAGGGAGAAGCTTCCTGAGAAGCTTCCATGCTGTGTGGTTACTTCCTGGGGGGAAGACTGGTTCCCACCACTTTGCTGCTAGAGCTAATGTATCTCTTCAATCTGTGGACCTCAGAAATGCTCTCAGGGACCCCAGGGATGCTTCAAGCCTCTCCTGGTGCACTAGAGATCACAAGAGACATCCAGTTCCTCAGATGTAGCTCTCACCCTGTGGCCACAGCAGTGCTTTTCCAGGAGTGGGGTGACGCTGCAGCAGAGGGGGGTTCAGCATGCTGCTATGGCATGGAGCAGGGGTGCCACTGGGCTGATGGTGCCATGCTGTGCTGTGCCATTCCAGACCCAGCTTTCGTCCGTGCCCAGCTGATCCCTGACAGCAGCGAGAGGAATGATGACAAGCTCTACTTCTTCTTCCGGGAGAAGTCGGCTGATGCCCCACTGAGTCCTGGGGTCTATTCCCGCATCGGGCGCATCTGCCTGGTAGGTGTAGCAGAGGACAGGCAGGAAAGCAGGCAGGGAGGTGGGCAGGGGGACAGGCAGGGCTGAGCACAGGGCTCTCACTGTTGCAGAATGACGACGGGGGCCACTGCTGCCTTGTGAACAAGTGGAGCACCTTCCTGAAGGCCCGGCTCGTCTGCTCTGTGCCGGGACCCGATGGAATTGAAACGCACTTCGATGAGCTCCGTGAGTGTGCCAGGAAAGGGATGGGAGCCTTTTCTACCCCTGCAGGCTTGGGAGGCACCCTGGGCAGAGCTGGGGACACCCCTGCTGCCCCCTGCCTCTTGCTCTTCCATGGGTAACTGCTCTGCCTGTACCCTGGTGTCCCTGCCCGCCTTCCCTGTGGTGACGCCTCCATCTTTCTGTCCCAAGAGGACGTCTTCATCCAGCAGACTCAGGACACCAAGAACCCTGTTATCTACGCTGTGTTCTCCGCTTCGGGGTGAGTGCTGACACACTCCTGGCACAGTGTGGGGAGGAGGGAGTCTCAGCTGGATGGGTGTCCTGGCAATGCCATGACAAAGGGTGGCAGCAGGTCCTTTCCCCCAGGTCGGTCTTCAAAGGCTCTGCAGTGTGTGTCTACTCGATGGCTGACATCCGCATGGTCTTCAACGGGCCCTTTGCCCACAAGGAGGGACCCAACTACCAGTGGATGCCCTACACAGGAAAAATGCCCTACCCCCGTCCAGGCACTGTAAGTACCCGCAGGCACCACGGGGAGGTGAGGAGGCGCCTGCCAGGCAGCCGGCACCCTCAGACCTGAGCACTGGCGATGTTTGTGCCGCAGTGCCCTGGGGGGACCTTCACCCCCTCCATGAAGTCAACCAAGGACTACCCTGACGAGGTGATCAACTTCATGCGCGCACACCCGCTGATGTACCACGCCGTGTACCCCACGCACCGCCAGCCGCTGGTGGTCCGCACCAATGTCAACTACCGCTTCACCACCGTGGCCGTGGACCAGGTGGACGCGGCAGACGGGCGCTATGAGGTGCTTTTCCTGGGCACAGGTACCCACGCCGCGCACCGCGGGGAACGCAGCATGCTCCGGCGCGGCCCCGGAGGGCACGGGCACCACCAGGGCTGGCCAGAGCACGGTGCCCTCCACCGCTAGAGCGGGGTGAGGGGCTGAGACTGTCCCCCTGAGATCCCTGCCCCTTCTCAAGGCTCCAGACTGTTCTTTCCCTGTCCCAATGCCATCCCACAGATATTAGTGTCCTGCCTGATCCTTCTCTTAGCCCAGCTCCTATCCCTGAAGCCAGTGATCCAGTATGGCACTTCCCATCCCGGGGATTCTGCCATGCAGCTTGGTCCTCCCCCTGTCCTGGTGCCTGTTCCAGGGGCCTCATCATCCAGCCTTATCCTTTCCTGACCCTAGCACCCATCCAGTGTGCTTCTTATTGCCCATGCTAATCCCGTCATCATCCAGCCTTGTACCTTTACTGCACGGTTGCCCATCCCAGAAACATTGACATCCAGCCCTGTCCTTCCCAGACCTCAGTGCCCATCCTGGGGCCACTATCATCCAGGCCAGTGGTTCCTTTGCCTTTAATGTGCATCCCAGAGCCTCCGTGATCCATCCTGGTCCTTCTCTTGCCCTGGTGCAAGTCCCCATGCTGCTCTGGGCACCCTGGCACTCTGGTGGCACTCTCTAAACACAGGTGGTTACCTGAGCTGGCACACTCCACCCCAGACACAGCTACCTGCCACAGCAGGAGAGATGGGCCTGGGGGATCCTTCCTTCCCACAGCCCCAGCAGGGACCCCCTTCCCAGAGAGGGAGGGCATGGGTGCCCAGGGGTAGCACTGAGCACCTGGGCACTCTGGTGTCTTGCAGATCGGGGCACTGTGCAGAAGGTCATTGTGCTCCCCCGGGATGACATGGAGACAGAGGAGCTCATGCTGGAGGAGATTGAAGTGTTCAAGGTAAGGGCTGGCATGTCCCACACCCTCTGCCGAGTGCTCTTGACCCAGCCAACCAACCCCTTGAGACACCAGCCGGCCCCTTGAGATACCAGTCACTCCTTGGGACAGCAGCCAGTCCCTTGGGACACCAGCCACCTCTTGGCCAGCTCTGGAGGGACTCCAGGCTTTGGTCCTCCTGCTGCTGCCCACTCACATCTCCCCCTGCTTTCTCTGCCTGCTCCAGCTGCCTGTGGGGGCTCTGGGCTTCCCACCCCGGGCTGTAGCATCAGTCCAAGCGGTAATCCCTCCATCTTCTTCATTCCTCCTCTCATCCAGGTGCCAGCACCCATCAAGACAATGACCATCTCCTCCAAGAGGGTGAGTCATAGCACGTGGCAGGTGCCTGGGTGGGCAGATCCCATCCCAGACCCAGCTGTGGCACTGCCCAGCATCACCACAGCACCAGAGCAGGAGGCTCGCAGGGGCCCTAATGCAGTGGGGATGAGGTAGTATCTCATCGTGTCCTTTTGTCCCCAACAGCAACAGCTGTATGTGTCCTCGGCCGTAGGCGTGACCCACCTGGCCCTGCACCGCTGTGACGTGTACGGGGAAGCCTGTGCTGACTGCTGCCTGGCCCGGGATCCCTACTGCGCCTGGGATGGCAGCGCCTGCACACGCTACTCCGCCTCCTCCAAGAGGTACAGCGTGGGTCAGGGAGAGGGTCAGGGAGGGACCCCCCAGCCACGGGCTCCCCCTCTCACCTCCCACTTCCCCACAGGCGGAGCCGGCGGCAGGACGTCCGGCATGGCAACCCCATCCGGCAGTGCCGCGGCTACAACTCCAATGGTGAGCGGGGTCTGGGACGAGGCCTTGTAGCCAGGGGCAGCTGGGACGGGAGACTGAGGGCACAGGGCTGGAGCTGGGGACTCGGGGATTCCTTGGTGTGAGGGTGGATGTATGGGAAGATACATGGATGGGTGGGTGGTTGTATTAGGGAGGGAGATGAACAAAGATGAGTGGATACATTGGGGATGAGAAGAAGCACAGATGAGTGGGTCGGTTCATGGATGGATGGATGGATAAATTGATACCCACCCTTGGAGATGGAGTGGGCAGGGGAGAAGTGCAGTGGGGTGGCGATGACCTGGCTGCCCATGGCCCCCCTGCAGCTAACAAGAACACGGTGGAGGCTGTGCAGTACGGGGTGG